TTGAAAGTGGAATACCTCATAACATTGGGGTTTTGGGGGGGGGGGGGTATTTTTTTTCCTCATTAAAATAGCCCTAAGTCACAGAATTTTCATACATGCATCACTGTAGCAGAGCACCACCACTTGCTTGTTTTGGTGTTACAGCAAGAAACTTTAGGCATAATTTGTTGAATCTACTATCATCAATTTTGAGCAGAACCTTAAAGGCATAAGGTCAGTTGTCCCAGAGAGAAGAGCAGGAATTTAATTACATTTTCCATATCCCAAGGAAGAATATTTCAGCAATTGTGATACTGTACGCAGTTTTCAAAATCATTGCGCAAGAAGGGGAATTATTGTAAGGAAGATGGTCTCTTTGTGGATGAGTTCTTTCTGCCACAGTATAACTCAAATTGAAAATACTTACCTGAGTTTTTCTGCCAGACCAAATCAACTTGCTTTAGTTAAATATTTTATATTTTTAGAAACCAGTCAGAATTATTTTTCAGTGAGTGAGAAAAAGTTTCTGTGAAGGACAAAAAGGACACATTTTGGTATTGTAGTGCAACTGATGAACTTTGTATTTATTTTTGTTGTTTCATATTCAAGGCTTATATGAATCCCATAGCTATGGCCAGAGCACGAGGTCCTGCCCAAAATTCGGGACCAACAATACAAGACTACTTGAACAGGCCAAGACCAACATGGTAAGTGGCCATATTGTCTGCCCTTTTGACCTTTTAAGTAAAAGATTTGTTTCTTCTTACTAAGATGACACTGTTACCTACCTCCTCCCCAGTCATACCTTTGGAACGATTCCTTGTCTCTGGCCAATATGTTTTTTCCTAAATATGTATTAAATCTCCTCTTTTAAAAACAATAGTAGTTAATTTTGAAATACATATTTCTCATTTGTTTTTAAATATTTTGGCAACAGTTTCTCAGAAGAGGAAAATGTTGGTCATTTTACTTCTTTCAGAAATCCTAATACCTAAAGCCAGCAGATGTGTTTAATTTTTACACAAAGTAATCTCTAGAAAAGCATTTTTCTGGGATAGTCTTAGAACGCAGTTTACCCTGCCCAACAAAATCATCGCTTTGAGATATTATCAACAAATTTACATTCAGTCCATTTTGCCTCCTCTCATAAGACATTAGAGAACAATTTACCTAATTGCAAAGTTAGCTTTACATCTTTCAGAGGGATTTAGCAACTGTACTTAAACTCTTAGGGTTAGCTTACCATATGCATAACATCTAAGATGCTTTCATTCTTCTTTCTCTTGGAAGTTAAGCCAAAGCTAAACTTCAAAAAACCCTATAAAAAGTTAGACACTGAAGAAGGTATTTTTAATTGTGAAAATTGTGATCTGTCATTTAGGGAAGAAGTAAAGGAGCAACTAGAAAAGAAAAAGAAAGGATCCAGGGCTTTGGCTGAGTTTGAAGAAAAGATGAATGAGGTTGGTAATGTTACTAGTATGTTAATACTTGATTCTTCTTATCTTATATGCTACTTTTCCTCCACTATCGTTAACAGCACCAAGTATCCATAATATTTCACTTTACTCAAGCTTTTAATTAGTAAATGTTTTTTTTGTTTGTATCAGATGTTAAGGTTACCAATTAACTAATGAAGAGCTACTCTCAATTCAGAGAAACACTATATAAAAAGTTTTTTAAATTGCTGCTGAATAAAACTGGAACTTTTCATAAATGTAAATGTAGTCATACAAATGCATATGTTTATATTAATAAGTGAAACTTGTGCATTTTCCAATATGATAACCTAAAGTCTGTTATGCTAATCTTCACTTGTTTAAGGTCACCCAATCCAAATATACTGGGAAGAGGTGTATTACTGGAAACAGATGTCTTTGGCAAGGAATATACATGTAATATGGATACGGGAGAAGGTGCAAAGAATGGCCTTCAGTATACAGATAGGACTATAAAGCCCTTCTTTCTCTCTTATCCTAAGCTGATTACATTCAGTGCTGGTTCCCTACTGTAAATACAGCTGTTCTGATGCTTGTGTTCATTACCTGTTGGAGATCAGCACGGTGTAAGAAAGTTTCACATATAACTCCTGGTGTATACATAGGAAGAAATTAGTATACGATTAATTTTAGCTTTCTTCTTGGGTTCTGGTATTTTGGGATAAGCTTTAAGTAGTAGTCTTCATCATTGTGTGTGAATTTCTGGTTGAAGTAGATTATGCTCCTCCTCTGTTACTGGAAGGGCATAACACCTCTGCTCTTGCTATACCTTTTTGCCTAAGAAGTTATACCAGTATTTGGAGGGTCATGGGGTTCTGTTCTGAGAGGATCAGTTGTTCTGCACTCTGTGAGTTTTAGCTTGGTGAGTTTCAGTTTTAGCTTGGTGAGTTTCGTTTAGTATTTTGTCATATTCCTTTCCTGCTTTTATCTTTGCTTTATTGTGAAGTAATTGAAACTGGCACAGATGGAAGATAACAGCCTTTCAGTATGGCGGAAGGGTAAGAAGGGATGCAAGGAATTGTGAAATGCCCCTGAGTTCTCCCTAAAGCTCCTAAGCGCAAACCTCTAAATGGTTGAAAAGATCACAGTCTCTGAGGTGCTTGCTCTCCTATTCTACTGAGAGAACGCCTGCCTAATAAAGCACAGGCTGTTGCTGGAGTCCCCTCAAGTAGCTCTGGGTGGCTGGTATATCAAAATACACAGCCCACTGCAATACTGCGTGGATGCTACCTTGGACCATGGAAACACATTAGGCACAGCACTGTATCCTGGCTAATCTGCGATGTCTCTCAGCAGCACTTTTCAGCTAATTCACAGTACGCTGACTTGGGGATCTGTGTATCATATTGCATTGCACAGGTATAACCTTACTTAATTCCTGATATTTCTGTCCCTTCAGCACGATATGTGGATTATTGTTGCTCTCAGTACAATACCATTACAGCTTCAATGTGAGGAAGGGGAAGATCAGATATTAATAATAAAGAAAGGAGCACATGATGTGTCTGATGCAGGAATAGCGCAGATTGAAGCTAGCAGCCTTTCAATTTGATGGGAGTGGGCTGGATGCTTCAGAGCTCTTGAATGGGGGATTTTAGGCAGACCTAGAGAGCTTCTGAGGGATTGAAAAGAAGGAATGAGAGGAGACTTCTATCCATGCAGTGTGCTTCGCCTAACAAAAATAAGAGTGTTTCTACAAAGATGTGTATAATAATTTAATACTCTAATCATTGTTGACACCGACAAGGCCCAGAACAGACATTAGACAGACACTAGAGACACCCATACATTGAAGAAGAGCCAGGAGAATTTGTCTTGAAATTTTGCTTCGGGTGACTGCTTCAGCAATTTTTCTGGTAGGTTGCCCTGGCTTTCTGAAGTGCTCTAGCAAGATCACTGTGATACAAAACCAAAAATACCATAATTGATGACCTTCAAGATCATAGAATCATAGAATGGTTTGGGTTGGAAGGGACCTTGAAGATCATCTAGTTCTAAGCTGGCTGCCATGGGCAGAGACACCTTCCACTGGACCAAGTTGCTCAAAGCCCCATCTAACCTGGCCCTGAACACTTTCAGGGATGGGGGATCCACAACTTCCCTGGGCAACCTGTTCCAGTACCTCACCATCCTTATAGTGAAGAATTTCGTCCTTTAACCTAAATTTACCCTCTTTCAGTTTAAAGCTATTACCCCTTGTCCTATCACTACAAGCCTTTGTAAAAGGTCCGTCTCCAGCTTTCTTGTAGGCCCTGTTAAGGTGCTGGAAGGCTGCTATAAGGTCTCCCCGGAGCCGCCTCTTCTCCAGGCTGAACAAGCCCAACTCAGCCTCATAAGAGAGGTGCTCCAGTCCTCTGATCATCTTCATGGCCCTCCTCTGGACCTGCTCCAACAGATCCATGTCCTTCTTATGTTGGGAGCCCCAGAGCTGAGTGCAGTATTCCAGGTGGGGTCTCAGGAGAGCTGCGTAGAGGGGCAGAATCACCTCCCTCGACCTGCTGGTCGTGTTTGATATGCATGACAATTTCTTAAATCCAAACTTCAACATTAAGGTATGAACTAACAAAGTATTTTGATTCATATTTATCATCTGTAAAATCAAATGCATTATAGCCTTGGTTAGCATTATATGTTGTTTATTTTCTGTGGGTTTTGTGAAAACTGCATAATGTCAGGTAGAGGACAGGATTTCGAAAAAGGTCTCTTAAAAAAAGCTGTTTGGAAATGATGCTCATGTCACTGTTTCTGTTTGGTTTTGTTTTCAGAATTGGAGGAAAGAACTGGAAAAACACAGGGAGAAATTACTGGGGGGAAACGAGAGTTCCTCCAAAAAGAAAGAGGTAAGTTATTTTCAATTTAATACAATCTGTGTTTGGAACTGGATTTATCGTCTATGCTGCCAATACAGAATGACATAAATACATTTTAAAAGCCAGCATCAAAGTACATAAACCTAAATGCACGACAAAAAAACATGATGCCGAAGTAACATTTGTTTTATTCTATTTTTAAGAAAAAGAAAAAGGAAAAGAAGAAATCTAATAGGGTGAGCAAAATTTTCATTTTTCTGAGGTTTTTTTTTGCTTTGATGTTGTTTCTATTTGTCCTTTAAGTTCTCTTGGAAAGACAGACTATAGCTGTAACTTTGAATTTAGCTGTTTAATTGACTGATTTTTATTTTAGAGAGGTGGCTTACATTCTGTACAAAGAGAATTTTACTTCTGTTTAAAGGGAGGAGAAAAGCATTAAATATATATTATTACATGAAAAACGTTAGGAGTCACTTTTTACACTTCTATTTAAGAAAATCTATGTAAGATCAGCTTCTTGGAAGTAAAATTTCATTGATAATACATTGCAAATGAAGAGATTTTAAAGGAAGTGTTTGGATGGACTTTTGACTATTCACGAGACAAAATGCTGCATCTCACAAGCTTCACTTTTTGTTGTGTTTGGTCAAGTTGTCTTCATCTTCCTCTTCTTCATCAAGCTCTGATTCTTCCAGCAGTTCATCTGATTCAGAAGATGAGGTAAGAATTAACTTACTAGAACCTAACATGTTTTGTTCATGAAACTTAATTAACAGATTTTTGGTAATATATTTTAGAATATTGTTCGAGGGCTTGGTTTGCATAAAACTATTCAATTTGTATGCATTTGGTACATCTAATAATGTTGTGAATTTTAGATACATATCTATTAAATAATTTTCATTTTGAACACTATGAATTTTGAGTGCTAGCTTGTAAACTGTATCCATTTCTGTTTTAACATTGAATTGTATGCTTTTTCAATAGAATCCCCCATCTGATCATAAAAATGCAAACACACCATTTTTACTTTTTAGTAAAAATATTTGTTACAGATAATCAGATTCTACAGCACACATCTAAATAATAAACAGAATCTAGAGAACCTGGATTTTTCCCCAGTTGCTATTTTTTCAATGCAGAAGAGTTATAAAGGTCCTCCTCTAAAAGAATCAATTGTAGTATACTTTATTCCTCAAGAGAACATGATAACTTGTAGGAATTTGGTGTTCCCTATTCTTTACATTTAATGTAGGTCTTTTTAATTCTCGTGAGATTAAATTCAGGGTTCTGTGTTTCTTTTTTCCCCCAATATTTGTGGATAGGATAAAAAGCAAGGAAAGAAAAGAAGGAAGAAGAAGTATCGCTCCTCACGGAAATCTTCAACAAGCTCAACTTCTGAATCCGAGTCAGACAGCAAGGTAAATATACAGATGTGTTACCCTTGGGAAGTTTTCTTGATCTGTGTTATTAAGACATAAACGTTTCTGACTTGCACATACCGGTTTTTGTTTGTTTGTTTGTTTTTAAATCTTCCAAATTTAAAGCATGCATTCTTGTTGTAGCTTAGCTGCACTTGTATCTTCCAGGTGTAATCAGGAATCTACCTCCACTGGCCACAGTGCCTGGCAGAAATAATTTGATCTTTAAAAAATGGACATGCCTTATTCCATCATTTTTAGCTATTTTTCTGAATTCAGACATGCAGCTTTTGTGCTGCTCAAATGTTTAGTTTTAATACATTAGCACTTAAAAAATTAAAATGTTCTGTGAAATTCTTAAGAATATGCTATTTAACTGAACACCATCTGTGAAAATACAGGTATTGCAGGATATCAGTGGCCAGAATATTGCCTTTCTAAATATCTCTGAACTGAGTAGTTTCCTGTTGGAGAACTGAGCCTTTCCCAAATACATAATAAACTGAGTGTGTCTTTTTCCAAAAGCAAAGCAATGTACATCCACAGACTTACTGAATGAACAAAGAAGTGGAGAAGATATATGAGGCAATTTGTTCTGTTATGTTAGCATTTTTCTGTGTTACAGTGGATAGTAATTGTACTTCGTGCCTAAATATTAATAATACAGGGAGTTGTTAAGATTCTGTTTGTAGTCTTTATCACAGGCTTTCACTGGAATACTTAATTCAGTGTGGTATAAATTGTCATGAATCACTGTTTGCATACACCTATGAATTTGTGCTAATGGGAGTTTGAAAACTTTTGCTACATAAAAGGGCACACAGATACCCTTACTGCTGAAATTGGAAGGCAGAAAAGTCCATGGAAATACCTGCTTAACCCCTACCTGATCAGCGGAGATGGGCATGAATAAAGACTCCAGACTGTTATATGTTAGACATATATGTGGTTACAGTAGTGATAGGTGGTATCCTTTCCAGAGGCTCTCTACCTGTACTGCAAGTACTCTGATATCTGATTCTGTACAGACCTTTTCACACTGCTGGTTCAGGAAATTAGCAGCTGCATCAAAGCTATGGCTTTTTCATATTTTTACTATTTAACTGCAAGGTAGAAAGAACAGCTTTGAAGAATGACCTTCAGTAGACAGAAAAAGACAATGGGTCAGACTGCTTTTGGGATTTCTATCTTTTTCCTGAAATAATTTTGTCATGGTTTTTGTTTTTCATTCTATTTAGGACAGCACAAAAAAGAAAAGGTCAAAAGAAGATTATGAAAAAGAGAAGGTATTTTTACTCTTGAAATACTTACATCACAACTGCAGTTTACATATATAACGGAGTGCTCTTTTTTGGGTTTGGTTTGGTTTTTTAATACTGAATGCTTCAATTTATACCTATGGAAATTTTCTGTCCAAAACCACAGTCAGAAGGTATTCAGTACCCCCAGTTTGAAGTAGACTTAGTTGGGTTCAGCTCCTGTTTCAGTAATTGTTAGTGGAAACTGCTTGATCTGTTCTCGTTACGAAGGTAAATGAAAGAAGTATGTAATCTGTTGTAGTAGATCAGCTACATTCTAGTATTTTGGGTTTTATCTTGAGCAGTCACATTGAGCTAAAAATATGTGTGATGATATTTCAGTGGCATGACTGGTAGGATACTGGCTTGTTGCTGTAAATTAAGGAACATCAAGCAGAGGATATATTTATCTAAATGTAGTCATAGTTACATATATTGTACTTATGATGGCTTTGAAAAATTTCAGAGAAAAACGTATTAGCTTAAGAAAAATTACCCTTATTCATGCTCAGAGAAACGATAGAAAACCCTCTCTCCTTCCCACCACCTCACCAAAACGTATTAGCTTAAGAAAAATTACCCTTATTCATGCTCAGAGAAACGATAGAAAACCCTCTCTCCTTCCCTCACCTCAAAATGGTGAGGTGGTGGGAAGGAGAGAGGGTTTTCTATCGTTTCTCTGAGCATGAATAAGGGTAATTTTTCTTAAGCTAATACGTTTTTCTCTGAAAACCCCACATGCATCTGAGGGTTTCCTTCCTTCCATTATGTTTAATGCAAATAATCTTGTTGACTTGAATTTTAGTTATTTCTACCCTATGTGTAAACTAACAATATTTTAGAGTCCACCCTAGTCTTTCTCTCCACTTACAATTCTTATCGCATTGGCCTCTACTACTCCAGTCAACAGTATTGACTTTAGTGTACAAATTCTCCATTGCATAAGGCAAATGTGTTGATCTTCTTCTTTCCTTGCTCCTGCTTCCGTTTCACAGTTTCCATTTCCCAACAACTCCATTTAGCTTTGAGTTGCTTCTCTTCAAAGACCAAGTGTCTACCATAGCTCCTTATTCTTGGTTAAGCTGTAATACTACTTTCACACATCTGAAAGCAAAGGGCACT